CCCCCCCCCCTCCCGGCTTAAATCTGAGCAGTTTCGAACAAATTTGGACAATACTAAACAGTAGAGACAAAGATGCCCGAGGGGAAGATAGTGGAGGGCTTTGGTTTCCCCAACCCCTCACCCTTAATCTCTTTTCTCGCGCTTTCTACAGTATTTTGCTCTTCTCATTAGAGTACGGATGAAAAGTGTTCTATATATCCCGAAGCAGCCCCAACATATCAAGAGAGCTAGCCTCAGCAAACTCTACTCACACACTGAACTTCTCTCGTTCCTAGTTCCTAGCAAGGAGTGACAATTGCACTGAGTGATAGGCCCATGAAACTAACCTGCATAGGATCTTGGGAAGAGTTGTGGAGAAGCGTTGACTTCCGCCATTGCAAACTGCGGAAACCCTCCTCATGCTGTTTAAATAGGGAAAATTTAAATCATTTCTAAATTCCCAAGAAAGAGAACGTAAATCTCTTTGATGTATTAATGTGTGTTTCTCCTTTTATTTCTTTGGCAGTTCGGTTATGGAGCCTTCACTCCTACACAAACGTGGTTGCGTACAAAGGACACAATTTTCCCGTGTGGGACCTGGACATCAGCCCACAGTGCCTCTACTTTGCAACTGGCTCCCAGGACCGCACAGCCAGGCTGTGGAATCTAGAGTACACATTTCCTTTGAGAATATTTGCTGGACATCTTCAGGATGTGGATGTAAGATTGTGGATAAGCACTTAAGTTGACTTTATCATTCCTTTTACAAGAAAATTCAATGTAGATGCAAACATACTTTATTATAGAAATACAAATGAAATACCAGGTGAGTTCTCACCAAAAACGTGATATCTTCACTCGTGAAAATAACACCGTTACCATGGTTACATAATGACTCGCGTCTTTCGCAGCGAAAGTGAAATGGTTTGGTTTTTCATTCGTGTTTATATAATAAATGGAATATTACATAGTCGCTTAACGATACGAAATTTCCTTTCTCGTGTTAAAAAAATATTTCAAGGAGAGATTTCGTGTCTCCGCACGGCCATATAATATTCTCTATTTACGAGAGGAGTGGTTCACAGTCAAGTTGTTAACCCTTTACACCCTAAAATCAGTATTCATATTGTCCATACTGCTCTCTATTCAATTTACTAAGGTGCTGATAAGGAGAATTTGTTTACCAGTCAAAAGATTCTTTCGTTGGTGATCATTTCTTTTATTCTCATAACCTTAACGTATAATTCAGGGGTGATATTGTAGGGAGAAGTTGATGCTGGTCACTCTTTGGGTTTAAAGAGTTAAGCGTGCACAAGTATCCAACGCCAGGCACTGGGTCGGTAGAGGTGAGCAGGAGAGCGAACGCGCGAAAATCGTTGGGGTCTGGAAAGTAGTAACGTCACTCCCCTTCGTCCATCTCGTTTTTCTCAGGTTCGCTTTTTTTTGCTTGTTCCAGAAACTTATTGCCTGAAACAGGTTTATGCAATATTGAAACTTCACCTCTCAACGTCTTGTTCTTGCAGTGTGTCAAATTTCATCAAAACTGTACGTATCTCGCTACCGCCTCATCGGACCGCACTTGTCGCTTATGGGACCTACAGTCTGGAAACTGTGTCAGACTTTTCACAGGACACAAGGTACGTGCGCCTAACAAACATTATCAGACAGCATATACCTAACTGTCATCTCAGCGGCCAATCAGAACAACGGAAAACCTCGAAAGTGACCAATGAGGACTTACAACAACTACACGCATCAGAGCTCAAGCGCGGGAAGACGCGGGTGACCAAGCCATGATCGGTTTTTATCTGCATGTGATTGGTTTTGAGCTGGTACAAGTATTCTTGACCAATCACAAAGTGAAGTGAATCAGACCAATCAAAATTGAAAAATGCTACGTAGGGAATGTCTGTAGATCGGGATTTAGGGAACCTTTGCAACGATTTCATTAATTTCTAGGAAATTGTAACAAAAAAAAACAACAACAACAGCTACTCCACCTTTTTAAAAAGTGGTACTCTTAAATCCTCTGGTTGGTGTGAAAGGGGTCTTAAGAGTCGTGGAAACTAATTTCTTTGGAGCTCCACACGCAGTGAAAAAATGACGCGAAAAATGTCCGTTGCTACCTGTTTAACAAACGTTTGCGGACCTGCTATTTTCATTTCTTCCAAATTTGATTTTTTTCCCCACGGAAAAGTGTAGCTCAGATATCTCTATTTATTTATCCATTTACTATTTTTTTTCACTGCTTGCAGAGTTCAGTTTATGCTTTGACGATTTCTCCGGACGGTCAATACCTAGTCTCCGCTGGGGAAGACCGGCGCATTCGTCTGTGGGACTTAACCGCAGGCAGTATGATTAAAGAACTACGCGGGCACACCGATACTGTGTACAGCCTCGCTTTCAGTGCAGACGGTACACTACTATCGTCAGGAGGACTGGATAACAGTGTTAAAGTGTGGGACTTTGGCCAGGCGGTGAAGACTTCAAGTAATGGCAGTTCAAGTGTCTCTGTTTCACCAGAACTCATGGCTTCCTTTCCGACTAAGAACTGTTCAGTTCACTGCGTACAATTTAGCAGTTGTAACTTAATTCTGGCGGCCGGTACGCAGTCTCCCTGACGGAGGGGCAGAAAAATAGGACAGGAAACAAGCTTGAACACGCACAGATTATTTGCAGTCAAACTAATTTTATTGACATAATTCATATTTTGGATTTACTTTTCAATCCTAGTTAATTTTCTGTACAAAATCGATTTGGATTATATACATACAACAATATAGAAACTTACACAGACAAAAATAATTGAGATTGATTCTAGCTAACAGAGTTTGTTTATGAATTAATTGCACATCCAAGTTTTTTCTTACAAATAGCTTTACAAACCAGATAATATGCATACAAATCTTAAAAAATTAAACATAATTCAGGCAAACAATAAGAAAGCACATCCATACAATTGGGGTTTTCTGTTGGTTTTATAACCTTTTTTCAGCCAATGAAATACCAGCATGCAGCTGCTGTTAGTGAACTTGAGTTTTGATTGGCCAAAAAGAAAAAAACCAACAAAAACATATGACTGACTACAGCACTTGATAGCAGCACTGACACTGACATAGATGTACCAAAAAAAAAAACCACATCACACAGAGGCAAGCAAGCTGGAACAGATATCTTTTCCTGAGTAAACTGAATTCATTGCATCATCTAGCATAAGTATATTTCTAACAAAACAAAACACGTTTTTTAATGGCTCACAACGAAAATGATTTAACATGTGGCTTATGTACGAACACATTCGAAAGATTCTTATTTTTGTAAAGAAAACAAATACTTGAAACAATGGAAAATACTTCAAGCTATGTTTTACTTAATTCATTTTTACATCATATGTTGGATTGCAAAATTAAATAGTATCTTTAAACTTGAAAAGCTCCTTTCTTGTCATATAGCAAGCCATATAAGCAGAATGAACCATTTATACCCAAACAAATATCTTACTTTTTTCCTTTTTTCATTTCCAAACAGAATATTTAGTTTAAAAGGACAGCGCATTTGTAATCAAACAATACAAGCTTGTGATTTCTTACGGCCAGACACCCATGCTGAACAAAAATAAATTGACAACCTAAAACCATAAAGTAATGATAGCTATTTATCAAATGACTTAAGATCATATGTCAGATAGATACATAGGTTGTGAAATATTAAATGCAAAGATAAATTTTGGCTGGAAAAAACCATAATGCAAATCACTTATCTGTTAGGCTCCAAATGTCAACATTAACTACACCATTATTGTTTATTTTTATATAAGGGACAAATACCTACATAAAATAATTAAAATAAAAAATACATTTCTTACTGATAAAAAAGGAGATACTGAAAAGTATATCAATCTCATCAATAACCAAATTACTTTTCAAAAGACAACTATGAATTCAAAAGAAAATTCTGATTATTGAGGGCCTATTTGCATTGGCAAAAAGTTGTATGTTTAGACAAATTTTCTGTCATCGCTAGCACTTTACAGGTGCAGATGGGTTGTCATGACTTGACAAATCTTGGCTGAAGCAAAAAAATTGGGCAAAACTGACCAAAGAAACAATGCCGATAGATACCAATCAATGATAGTCTTGTATATCATTTATCATAAAAGCTACCATCAGCATGGATTTACACTTAGTTTACGCAGTAATTAAAGTTTGAATCCTTTTGCAAACTATGCCAGCTGCTCTTACGAGCAGATTAGTTACTGACAGAAGGAATTTGACAGCTTTGAAATCTTTAAAATGGACCCAACAGATGAGACAAATATTTGTCATGACAAAATTTGTGCCTTGATTTTGACAAGACAATTCTAGTTTTTTCCAATAATACAGAAAGGTGGTTAGGGAAAAAAACTAATTTGCAATGAGGTCACATCAAAACTCAGTGACTTAGTATAGAAAATCATTAAATGTTTTCATAAGAGAATTAAAAATCCACCATTTAGTATCCCTTTAAATACCAATTAATAACAAAGCAGATACAACTGATGATGGGAACATATGGAAGGTGATTAATTTGGAAACGATATCATTAATCAAGTTTGTAACAACTCAATTTCAAATGAAAACAAACTCACTCAAAATCTGAAAGATGTTCCGTGCAAGAAACAGCTAACTAACCTCTGAAAAAGAGCTCAACTGAAGCTAAATTCTGCAGATCATATATCTCAAACAGCAACCTGGCCCACTGAAATTCAAAACCCCAAAAAGGAGAATTTCCCCCATTGTAATGAAAGAATGCTCATTGTAAGGGTGTGACATTGCAAACACTTTCCTGTGTCAACATCCCTTGAAATTTTCCTGTAAATCACCAATTCCCCCCCCCCCTCCAAAAAAAAAAAACTAACTAAATAAATATATAAATAAATTAATGACAATTATGATAATTTAGCTCCATCCTCAGAAAGGACTGTCAAGGGACATGGTTTGTAAGGGTACAAATAAAAGTCTGCTTTGACCCTCAACCTCCTAACATCCAGCAAAGCTTTCTTGGAAAACCAGGATCCAGAATTTACAATGAAGGTGGGAGATAAAATATTCTCTAGGATAGGAAATGGAAACTGATAAAGGAGAACAAATTTCATACACTCAAGTAATCAATTTCCAATCCATGATCTCTGATTCCAGCTTCCCAATCCTGGTCCCTCTTTTCCAGGAAACGTCCATTTTAAAGGTGATAGCAGAGAGATTATGCTGGAGATTAGGTATGTCGTAAATTGTTGAAATACCAAATTCTCCTCACCAACAGTGAGGAATTGTAGGGAGTCAAGAAAGGGGAATTGATAATCAAATGTTAAAAGGAAGATCTTCAGCAATGAGCATCCTTGTTACATAAAGGAGAAAATTCCCCTTTCAATAGTGGGGAAGAATTTTGTCTAATTGCAATAATTTTTGCCTAGTTCTTTTGCCACATAGGTGGCTACCCATTACACAGCATGAAGCAATATTCTATGAATATTTCAAATTTACGTGGCACTATACAAAACACTCTCCAAAAGGAGACATAGCATAAAATAATCATTGCAAAGCACAATGAGGCAATAACTGAGCGCATACAACAACTTTGCTCTCACAAAAAAAACACCCTGACCACAAAAAAAGGTGTGAATCCAGCACATTCAAACTAAATAGTAATTAACTGTAATAAACTTCTCTTTGAAATCCTTAACCATGATATCAAACCCCATTGATAATAAATTTTCAATTATGAAATAAAAGCACTTTTTGAACCTAGGTCCACTATTAGAAACACTTTGTAACGAATTTACAGTGATTTGTCAAAAATCATACAAACAAATCATGCAGAGCTTCCAGGAGGAAAAAAGCCCACAGCTTTACCCTCACAGATTCCACCAAAAGTGCACTTGCAAGGCTGCTCAAATTTGACGTATCTGTATTCACTTATTCTAATGCTGTGACATACCAGAACATTCTTAATAAACAAATCATTTTTCTACACCGATTCATGAAGCACAAATTTAACATAACCACTCCTAGAAACCTTTAATTAGGTTCAAAATTTAGCTTTGACAAGAAAGTCTCTACCTTCACACCCTAAAAACGTTGCTGCAAAGACATTCATTAAAAATCAAAAGGTAATTGTCATTGACCTTGTGAGGGACAAATATGGCTTAATATTTGCCAAGGTCTTTTAGTGTAACTGAACTACAGTAGACAAAGACAAAGCTGTGGTCTACAAAAACTCAAATCAAGAAGTTGACAGACACCAAGGAATTTTGACTGAACAAGCTTAGGGAGCCATCCAGTAACTGAATGAACTTAGTGTGTATTGTACCACACGACAAGTGAATGAGAATTTTTGCTCCCACTGATTAGCTGGCTCAGAAGTGATTAGCAAGTACTATTCATGTCTGAGCAGCCATGGACATAAAATTGCACATGAGGAATCTTTTCCCATAATATTTGGGAATAATGACTAAAAGTAAACTAATTGTCCAGTTTCTGTGTGGTATTTTACTTGCAATTTGTCTCCATTTAGGTGAAAGTACTGGATGTTTACCTCCCCTTTGGTGAATAATGATTACCGTAATTATTTAAACCTAACCATTGTCTCCACTGCATGATTCTGTGCTCTCCGCCAGGATTTCGCCTGTGAGGTTGGATTTATTCAAAGTTTGCCCACCCTGGCTAGCCTTTGCGGCAGCATCATGGGACAGATTATGCCCCAGCTCTGGTGATAAATCACAATTCTTCTTATTCCCTGGATCCTGGTCTTTGTCCCTGGAAGTACTGGTATTATTGTTGGTGTTTGACTGTGTCATACTGCTGTCATCCACATCAAATGGCTTGTCACGGGATTCATGCACGTGCATGTTGTGTCGCCGTAGATCACCTTGAGTTCAAGTGGCAAGAGAGTATTAATTAAGCACTGTCTATGATCCAACTGGCTTATCCTTCCCTAAATGGGATGATACTCCATTGCATAATTACCCAAAGCATTTAAATGGGCTTGCTAGACACCTTGCTGGTACTCATTTATACTCCTGAGTGAAGAGAAGTACTGTGAGAGTTAACCCTTAAACTCCCATGAGTGACTAAGACAGAATTTCTCCTTACAATATCAATACAATCACCCAGATAAGTGACAAGAATAAAGAAAAATATCAATTTGGGGATTATTAGTTGATCCAATACTAAATTCTCTGAACTACCAGTAACATTTTTATGAGAATTGTACGGTTGACAGTAAGGAGAATGAGAAACTTGATCTTTAAGTTAAAGGGTTTAGTGTTTTGCCCAAGAACATAACACACTGACCCAGCCTGATCTTGGACCCAGACCTTTTGACTCAGTGTCCAGTGCACTACATCAGTAAGCCCACTGGATCAACTTTTTCTGGTGAAGGGGGAGTCATTGAAAGGAGAGTAATTTTCTGACAACAAAAACTCCTGATAAGGACTTAATAACCTCAAATGTAATAAAACATTTCTTAGGTCATTAATCACTGGGTTGATAATTTCTTTTACATAAAGTTGATAACAACACTTTTGTGATCACTCATCCACCTTGAAAGTATAAAAATACAAAGAGATCACAGGCATAGGTCAGATGACTGTCTGCCAGATATTAAGCCAGATATTTAGCTAGTTCTCACCTGATCTGTTGAAAGACTTAGGACAATGGTCACATGCAAAGGGACGCTGTTCTGAGTGAGTCACAATATGTCGTCCCAGTTTGCTTGAAGTGGCAAACGTCTTAGGACAGTGAGGACATTTGTGCGGCTTCTCCCCAGTATGGATGTAAGTGTGTGTCTTCAAAGATATTGTGGTGGCAAAACTCTTCTCACAATGCTTACAATGGTAAGGGCGCTCACCTGTGACACAACGAAAAGAAGCCAGTGAAAACTACATAAAGTT